ACCGTTCCCCCACCTCCCTTCCCTCCTTCCTTTCCTTTTTCCTTTCCTTTCCTTTCCTTTCCTTTCCTTTCCTTTCCTTTCCTTTCCATCCCGCAGGACGCGGACCCGCGCTCACCTGGCTCAGCGAAACTCAGCAGCTCGTATTCCTGCAGCCCCGTCCCGCGGCCGTCCCGGAGCATCCCGGGGGTGGCGGAGGCGTCCCGGAGCATCCCGGGGGTGGCGGAGGCGTCCCGGAGCATCCCGGGGGTGGCGGCCCCGTCCGAGCGCTGTGCCCGCATCCTGCGGAGCGCCGTCAGCAGGGAGCCCCGGGACGGCGGCTGCGGCACGCCGGGCCTGCCCGGTAACCGGAGCTTGGCCAGGATGCTCTGCTTGGCCAGAGCCAGGAGCGCGTCCCGCTGAGCCCCGGGGGCCAGCGCGGCCACCCCGCAGGCCGGGCAGCGCTCGCCCTCGGCGGCAGCCATCCGTAGGAGGCTCAGGAGAAGGAGAGCCACGGTGACCGACATCTCCGGTGGCGACAGCGTCCGAGGAGCAGAACCGGAGAGGCAGCGGCAGCGCCGGGGAGCGGAGAGGGATGGCGGAGCTGGACTGAGAGGGAGCACGGGGCGAGGATGGGCTCGTTCTCCTGACGTGGCCACAAATATTGGCTGATCCCGGGCGAGATAAACGCCCCGGAGCCGCCCGGCAGCGGGCAGAGCGGCGCGGACGCTCCGGTTAAGGTGGAGCCGGGCCGGTGGTGCCGCTGCTCGGGGGGCGCGGAGACATCGAGGGCACCCCGGTGTCACCCCGGTGTCACCTCGGTGCCATCCCGGCGGTGCACGGGCAGGGATGTGGTGGGGACTCCCGGGGACACGCGGGGGACCGCGGAGGGGGGGATCCCCGGGGGTGGGGGGATCTCTGGAGCTCTGAGAAGGGGGATTTTGGGGGGTCGAGGGGTTGTTGGAGATGGAGATATGGGGAGATGGGAGATCCCGGGGAATGGGGGATACTCAGAGAAAGGGAATCCCAGGCGGGTGGGGGGTCCCTGGGGGATGAGGGATCATCGGGGATTGGGGATCCATGGGGGGGGGTGAGAGATCCCAGGGAATGAGGGGTCTCCAGAGAGGTGGGATTCTCGGGGATGGAGAATCTCTGGGGAAAAGGGGGGATACTCAGAGAAAGGGAATCCCGGGCGGGTGGGGGGGTCCCTGGGGGATGAGGGATCATCGGGGATTGGGGATCCATGGGGGGGGATGAGAGATCCCAGGGAATGAGGGGTCTCCAGAGAGGTGGGATTCTCGGGGATGGAGAATCTCTGGGGAATTTGGGATCATCGGGGAGATGTGGGACCCCTGCAGAATTTGGGATCATTGGGGAGATGTGGGACCCCTGCGGAATTTGGGATCATCGGGGAGATGTGGGACCCCTGCGGAATTTGGGGTCCCTGGTGATGTGAGACCCCCGGAGACATGTGTGACCCCCGGTGAATTTGGGACCCCCGGGGAGGTGTGGGACCCCCGGTGAATTTGGGATCCCCGGGTTGAAGGCTCCTGGGGGCTGTGGGATCTCTGGTGATGTGAGACCCCCGGGGAAATGTGGGACCCCTGGGGAATTTGGGATCCCGGGGGATGGAGGATTCTGGGGCCTGTGGGACCCCTGCGGAATTTGGGGTCCCTGGTGATGTGAGACCCCCGGGGAAATGTGGGACCCCTGGGGAATTTGGGATCCCGGGGGATGGAGGATTCTGGGGGCTGTGGAATCCCTGGTGATGTAGGACCCCGAGAGATGTGGGACTCCTGGGGAATTTGGGATCCCTGGTGATGTGAGACCTCCGGAGAGATGTGGGACCCCCAGTGAATTTGGGACCCCCGGAGAGATGTGGGACCCCCAGAGAATTTGGGATCCCCGGGGTGGTGTGGGACCCCCGGTGAATTTGGGACCATCGGGGAGGTGTGGGACCCCCGGTGAATTTGGGA